CCCTATTCCATCCCCCCCCCCTTTTTGCATTATATAGAATTCTCTAATGTTTGATTCCCAATTTGATTATCCTTGAGGTAGAGATTCCCATTTTTTTCTATTTTCCCTTCAGGGAGAGTTCTATATGAAGAAAATACTCAGAATGAAAGTCTTCAGTAGTGTTTAAAGTTGGGAAACTATAACATTAATGATATCCTGCTTTTCACCTTGGCAAAATAAACGTGATTGACAATTGGTAATATTCAATGCTGGCATTGGCACGAGTGCAGTAAAATAGGAACTCATATACTAGTAGAAGTGCAAATTATATAGCTTTTCTTATAAGTGATTAACAGTTTGAATCAAAAGATTTACATTGAAAAAATTCTTACCACGTCAATTTTACCCAAAGGAATTTATGCTAAAGAACTACTTAGATATATGTGCACTAATTTTTGAGCAAGAATATTCAGTACAGTATTATTTTACTAAATATTTTAAGTAATTAAAACACCCAGCTCTCCAGACAGAATAAAATATGGTGCAGCTATTAGAAGGACTTTTCATACACACCTTGTATTCATGTTTTTCAGAAATAAAAATATAGGAAATGACTCACTATAAAGCGCTGAATGACAACAGCGGGATACGAAATAAATGCAATCTGATTTTGTATATGAGAACATTAGATTCAATAATGATAGCTTCTCTAACAACCCTTTAATTTCCATTTTCATTGCTTAACACAGTAAAGTCTTATTTTTTCTCATAACATAGTCCAATGCAGGGTGGTGGCAGTTGTGAATTTCTCTGTAACTCTGGCAAGCTCAGTATATGGCTTCAAGATTGCTGGGGTCATCCAGCCAGCAGATGGGGAAGGAAGAGAAATAGCATGAACAGACTTTAATTTCCTTGGTCCACAAAGGATGTATCACTTTTGCTCATATTCCAACAATAAAAGCCAGCGCCTGGGCTGTGTAGTTTTACAAGTCTTGGAGCATCTCATCTTCAAACACACTGGAAGCAACTCACAAATTGTGAACATCTATTGGGAAATTATTTGTAACTTTAATTTTCAACTTTGTGCTATTATTTTCTGGATTTTCTAAAATAAGAATAAATTAAATTCATAATCATATAAAACTATAATCATTAAAAAACTTGAGGTGTAGTGTGAGGCCAGCTGCTGGTTTTCTCCCTGGAGATGCAGACAGGCTGGGGCACTCACCACAGTGTAGGTTTCAGTGTGGCTCTCGACCTGAACAGGTTCTTCAGGCGCCTGCCAACGTGACAGAAAATACACTGAGCACAGCATAAGGAGGACTATTCTCTATGCATGGGTGGTTTGGATATAATATTTATCAATGCCGATCACCTGGATTGCTTTGGCTGATCTGGCTGGCTTGGGGGATTTTCCATTCTTCATTGTTCCATATGTTTCCTTTCCAAAAGCATTCCCTCTGTCCAGGAGAACAACTGTTTCTAATAGCAGAAGTGGGAAAGTAACAAAGCAAAAGTTTTCTCTTTTCACAGTCTGCTAGAAAGTTATTCTTTAGAAAAACCACTTGTGCAGGACGGTGTAGGTTGCAAATTCATCTTATACAATGTAAATGAAGTCTAACTGATGATTTAAGAACCAGCAATGATAGCTCTCTGCAGAAATGTAGCAGGTTCACTGTCCCTATACATTTGATTCCATATTTTGTCTCAGGCCCCCCACTCTGCATAGTGGACTGTAGAGATATGTCTGTGACTAAGATCCTTTGCAACACTCACTGTTGGCTTCCAAGTTCAAGTCTTTCCTTTCCTTGCCCGTAGTTATTTTCTGTCTCATTGCATGCCACTTTCTTGCACTTGTCCTGTTAAACAGCCCACCGTGGCTGTTTAATATTTAAAAGCTGGGATCATTTTGCAGGTTTTAGTTTAAAGGTAACCATAGCACACGCACACATCCATTATTAACAGCAGAGATGCACTGTGCGTTCCTGGGAATCTTCTTTCCTTCGACGCTGGCTTCCCGGGAGGGCTGCTGTGGCTGGAATCGGCCCGATAGCGCTGTGCGGCGGGGTCGCGCTATGTGAGCCCGTGGCCGGGGCGGAGGTGACCGCGCTCCAGCGAGCGGGCGATGAAGCCGGAGGGCGAGCGGCCGCGCAAAGTGCGGTTCCGGGTGGCGTCGTCGCACAGCGGGC